CTCTTAAGCTGGATTAATCTGGGCCTCCCGGAGCTGGCCTTAGGTCGCCTTGTCACCGTGTCTCAGGCACTTCTGCTGCTGGTAGGCTTAACTCGTGGCTTCGGTGTCAGCATTTGGTGCCATCTGGACGAGCACTTAATGACTCCCCAAAGAGACAGGGTCAGACAACACAGCCATCTTCCTGAGAACTAAAATTAGTAGCTCTATTTCATCACAAAGCCCTCTCCCCTCCCGTCACCTGTCTCCTGACACGACTCACAGGAACCAGAGGAGGAACGGGGCGGGCAACAGGGGCACTGGCCAGTACCCGCGGCCAGGCTCTGTGCCATGCCCAAATTCTGCTTTGGTTTTATTCATATGAATCTACTTTGCTGATTATGAACAGTAGACACAAGGCTAGAAATTCACCAGGAATTTACTGATTCAGTGTCAGCTTACCATTAAGAACTCAGTTTTCTAGCAATCAGAATATAGTATCTCAGGAAAACTACCACATATATTATTTCAAATATTTATATAAATTTTTTGCCAGGAAGCTGAAACGTGTTTTGTCAGAGGAGGATAAGGTCAAGTGGAGGGGGACAGTCGTAATATTCAATGTTCACATGTGAAAATGGAATTGGGTCCCTGGAGGGGATATGTGGGCTGGGAGAAGTGGGAGAATGGTAGAAAGTTGACACAGATCAAGATGCACTGTACTCATCAACTGACATGCTGAATTGAAACCCCTTTGTACAACTGCTGAAAGATCAAAAAGAAACAAAAAGTAAAATTAAATTAAAAGCAATCAAACTTCATTCTGTAACAGGTCACTCAGAAGTAGCACTTCTAATCTGTCACAGTGTGTTTCAATACTTGACAATGGTGTTTGCAAAATGTTCCTCATTTATGGGGCAGCCAAAGAGCTCCCAGGAAAGTCTGATTTGCTGACACCTCCTAACCTTGGGGCTTTAAACAGCATTAGATTGTACAGAGTCCCATATTCAGTATGTATACTGTCCAAAGCTATGAATGACTTCTTGTCCAGGGAGCGGGGGTTAAACTTTATTAAAAAGGAATAACAGCTGCTGGAAATGAAAAGGGATGCTGAGTTTACAACAGGAATCTCACCAATTTAACTGACCCACTAAGATATATATTAGCACTTTCCAGAAAAACACCATGGAATTTAGAATTCCTGTAAGTTATTATTCACAGCATCCAAAGCAAGACAAAAATACATATAAGTAGGTAGAACACAACACATTCTAAAGACAACCATCAGCAGAAATAGTGATATTACTCAGCACTGAAAAAAAAGTATTTTAAAATTGAAAATGCATTGTCAAGACCAAGAAGAAAAATATGCTTGATGAAGGAAGAGACAGAAAATGGCAACAATGAAATAGATACTATTTACTTTTAAATAGAAAGTTCAGCCAGGTACAGGTAGCTCATGTCTGTAATTGTAGCTACTCAGGAGTCTGAGAGTTGAGGATTGCAGTTCAAAGCCAGCCCAAGCAAGAAAGTCCTTGAGACTCTTATCTCTAATTAATCACAGGAAAGCCAGAAGTGGAGCTATGGCTCAAACTGGTAAACAAGCACACGGACAGTGTCCAGGCCCAGAGTTCAAACCTCACAACCCGCAAAAAAGGAAAAAGAAAAAAAGAAAGTTCACTAACTTAAAAATGTGACCTAAAATGAAATACTCAAACAATTGTTTGAACTTTAGAATGAAAATGACCCAGCATGAATAAACTTGACAATTCACTAAAAATGACCTATTTCCCAAAACAACATATTAAACAGAAAACTCGAACAGTTTGCTTGGACAACTAGAGCATTATATAAAAACAAACTAACCTAAACGCAATTGGTATTCCAGAAGAGAATGATAATGGGGGTGGAAAACATACATGATAAAATAAAGACCAAAAATTCTCCCAAATTATGTGAGGTAAATTCATACGACTGATTAAGATGAATTTAAAAATAAGCACACCTAAGCACATCATTATCCATGGCTTAAAGCTAATCTTAAAAATAAAAATATGGATGGGCTGGGAAGATGGCTCAGTGGTAGAGTGCTTGCCTTGCATGCATGAGGCCCTGGGTTCGATTCCCCAGCACCACATAAGCAAAAAGAAAAAAAAAGCCGGAAGTGGCACTGTGGCTCGAGTGGTAGAGCGCTAGCCTTGAGCTGAAGAGCTGAGGGACAGCGCCCAGGCCCAGAGTTCAGGCCCCACGACCGGACCCAAAAATAAATAAATAAATAAAATAAAAATATGGCAATATGTAGCCTAGTGTCCCCAGAGCCTGGCCTGGAGTCCTCACTTAGCCTCTCGGCCTGTCGCCCCCGCATGCTCAGCCTGCTGCCCCCCTACACTCGGCCTGGTGTCCCCCACACTCTGCCTGGTGTCCCCGCATAAGTGGTTTTTAAAAGAAAGCCAGTCTTCCCCAGCATTCTGAGCACAGGACTCTGCAAATCGCTGGAGAACATGTTCCCTTGGTGTCCAGCAGCAATAGCTGTCAGCTCGGGCTACATTTTTCAGGAACTTGGGGACTTGGGGAACTTTTGATGGGTCCCATATGCGATCTCTGGAATTAGAAATTCTGGGTCTAGAGCCCCAGTATCTGCATTTCCTAAAGCTGTCAGTGGTTTTAATGAGTAGCTCAGAAAACCATTCTGGATGAACTCTTAAGTTGATCAGCTCCTATAAATCCATGCCTCACTTAACCCAAATATAACGCTGGTCCAGTCATTTTGGTTCCAGAAGATTTATCAATCACCTCAATTAATAATATATTATCCTGTATTAGTAATATATGAACCTGCATCAGTGAAATATTTAATATATGATAGATTGATATAAACTCTATTTTCTAGGCAACAGTTGGTTATCTTCATTTTAAAGGAAATAATGGCAAGCATATACAATAATAATATACAAATAATATTAGTATTTTACTCTGTAGAACAGAATCCTTTCTAGTTTTTTTGTCTTTCCATATCTTTAGATGAGTATTTCAGGTGAATGATAGGCATGGATTGTGTATGGATCTTTAAACAAGAGTTGAGAATGAGTAGAGAATCAAACTAAAAGTGAACTGGAACAGCAAATAACTCAGCTGAGAAAAAGCAGGTTCAAATGAGCTGCCTTAACTCTGACTCACACCACATTACATCTTGAATTCCACAATCATAAAAAATGGAATAGGATGCAGAGAAAATGTCCCCTAAAAAAGTTACATTCCACCTTCAAAATAAGTATTAGAAGCAGCAAATTCTATTCCCAAATTGGCTTTCCCGTGTGTGCCACCTGGGCAGTTCCTGCCACAGAACAGAAGCAGTTCCTGCTTCTAGGACATCTGATTTCCACCACCCTACCAGTCTTCAAAGGCTGAGGAGTAAATGCTTAATTTATGTCCTTGGGTAAAGTTTAAGAGGCCTCAGGCTACAAATGATCTTTAAAAATAAAAAAATAAAAATTTTTCCTCTTTTCTATTAAGCTTAGAATAATAGACCAAAATTTTAAGTTAATGAGAATCTTTCATGGTCTATAAAACCCCATTTGTTAGGAAATGGAAAGACCTGTAAAAAATTATATTAAGTGAAGTAAGCCAGGCCCAAAGAAACATAAGTCCCATGGTTTCCCTTATTTGCAATAACTAGTATATGTCTGAGATAAGCAGAAAAGGTCAGGTAAGTTGATGTTAGGCAAAATGAACCCCAAGATAAGGATTCATATGGTTTTTTTCTTGCTATTATTTCTAACATATTTATAAGATGACTTCTTTGTTGCTTTGTATGTCCCTCCCCCACTGTATAACCCATTTTCACTGTATTTAATGTCGGTGTAATTTGGGGAGGGGAAGGGAAAAACAAGTTGTTTGAATAGGGATACAGGTGGACCCACTGCAAGGAGACGTTATGTTGAAAAACGAACTTTACAACTTTGGTGGTGGGGGGGGGGCGGGGATGGGAGGGCAGGAATGGTAAGGGGAAACAAAGGAGGAGGCAACAATTCTTGATAAGAAATGTAGTCATTACCTTGCTCATGTAATTGTAACCCCTCTGTACAGTATTTTCACAATAAAAAAATTAATAATAAAAAGTCAAAAAAATTATAGGAGTAAATTGTATCTACATACAAACCACTGGATATTTATGATAAATGCTTAATAAATGATGAACCACTTAATTGAGAACAATCCCATTACATGCACATTATGAACTTTTCTCAGAAATCTATTATGGAAACATTGCCATTTTATCATTTACAAATCAAAGGAAAACAGCAAAGGACTTGGACTATTGCGGGGGGAGGGGGCAGGTAGGGGACTCACAAATGGGTCTTAGTAGGGAGCTTTTTACCCATTGGATAGTGGCTTTTGTTTAGTCTACAGTTTTGCAAAAATAACACTACTTTCATTTATTTGTGATCTACTTCTGACTGAAAAGAATGTGTAATCAAACATTGAAGGGACACAATGATGAACACAATGAAGGACAAGAACTGCTCAGGAGGTCCTGATGGCAGAATACTGCGGCAAACAGCAGACTGACAGTGCAGGGTTTCACAGCTGTGGCCGGCTCTGTCTCAGATGGAAAGCAGGCTGTGTGCACACTGGTCATTTTCAATTCTTGAATTCTATGTGATGAGTGTGTATGTGTGTACATGTGCATGCATGCCTATGCATCTTCTGGAACTAGGGCTTGAACTCTGGGCCTCATGCTTTTGCTTAGTTTTTTCAGTTGGTTGGTCCTCTACCACTTAGGCCACCCCTTAGCTTCTGACTTTTTTTAGGCTAATTAGAGATAAGGATGACTTGGATTTGTCTGCATGGGCTGACTTGGACTTGGGATCCTCCTAGCTCAGCCTCTTGAACAGCAAGGATTATAGGGTGAGGCACTGGCGCTCAGCCTGAAATTCTGTACAATTTAAGTCATTCAGCCATCTTATAGCATGAATAAATAGAATAACATTTCTATTTTGAATTTTTATTCCAGAAATACTTACAGTTAAGGCTGGGAGTCCTGGGGGTCCCATGTCACCCTAAAGAAAAAAAGAAAAAAGTTAGAATTTCTAGGAGCCCCTCTTTGTACATTATTTATAAGTTTTAGAATCTATAGGAACAATATTAATAGATAAAGTTTGAAGTACATCAAAATAGAATTTGTCTTAATTAAGTCTGGGCACCATGAAAACTTTATTCTGCTCCCTTTAGAGCTAATATTAGAAAAATGCACTTTTTTCAGCCAGAGAACTTGTTTTGAGAATCTAAAATTGTCAAATTTTCTATTCTTTTGACTAGTAATCCAAAATTAGAAGAAATAATTTCTTCTCAAATATGGCTGCTTGCCAAAGTGACAGCTGGGAAGCGTGGTGGTGACATAATTTTTTTCTGACATTCAAGTGAGAACCGGCAGGCATAGTAAGTGGGTCTCCCTGGTGCTACATCCAGCTGTCAGGCCCAGCCCTGCTGCCCAGGCCTGCAGAGCTAGCCCTGCACTGCTGCTTGGTGCTGTTGGCTGAGTATCCCGACATCTTTGCTATGTTGGGGATTTAATTCCTTATGCTGTCAGACAAGGGTGAGAAAAGGGGAAATCTTAACAAACATGCTAATGTCAACTTGCATCTACATCTTTCAGGCTAATTAAATGAAAACATTGTCCTAATGTGTTCAATAGAACAGGCTTTGATTCGTTAAAAAAAAAAAAGTGCCAGTTCTAGGGCTGGAACTCAGGGCCCAATCACTGTCCCTGAGCTTTTTACTCAGTTTTGGTGCTCTTTTACTTGAGCCACACCTCCACTTCTGGCTTTTTGCTGGTTAATGGGAGGTAACAATCTCATGGGCTTTCCTGCCTGGGCTGACTTTGAACCCAATCCTCAGATCTCAGCCTCCTGAGTAGCCAGAATTCCCAGAGTGAGCCACAAGTGCCCAGTTCATCTTACAATGTCTTTTGACAACTAGATCCACAAGAAAGTCCCTGTGGAGAGGCTAGAATGAGAGGGAAGACACAACAGACACAGTACCTTTTCTCCTTTAGGTCCAGGTGGGCCGACAGGACCCACATCACCTTTGGAACCCTGCACAAAGAACACAGACATTATCAACTCCACATGCCATGTCACACACACTCTGCTTTCTAACAAGCCACTAGTGACAAACCTATCATAACTGAGAGAACCCTCAAACCCTTCTCTTCTCCCTTTGTTGTTTGAAGAGAAATAAAGATGACTGGCTCTCAAAACCCGAGCAACATCTGTGCATGGCACAGATAAAGTAAATCAGCAACCATCCTCAATAGCATGTATTTGTACAACTTTGCTTCCTGCTGAAATCACATTAATTTTCCTTCTGTGACAGCAGCATTTAGATTTATGTGAGCTTTACATATCCACTTTGGACTAAATTTGTGGATGTTGTAAATACTGCTGATTGGTAATTGATTTGGCACAGACAGACACATCCTGTCCATCCCAATCATGCAGCCAATAGGAAAGAATAACATGCAACAATAAAGTAATGAAGAATGGCTGAAGCCATGTGACGAACATGGTCTAGGCCTCTAACTGCTCCGAGAAAATGAATTCAGCTATTTTTGCAGTGAGTGAATGAGAATACAGATTCCTGTGAACAGAATCCCTGTGAATACTGAATCCTGTGAGTACTGAATACTGAGTCCTGAGAGTACTGAGTCCGTGTGACTACTGAGTCTTGTGAGTAATGAGTCTGTGTGAATACTAAGAACCTCTGAATACTTAGGCTCTTATGAGCAGTCCTGTGAGAACTGAGTAGCTCTGAATATGGAGTCCTGTGAGTCCTGAGTCTGTGTCTACAGAGTCCTGTGTATACTGAGTTCTGTCATTAAGGTGAGAGCTGAGGGCAGGGGAGGCGCTCCCAGCTCCACTGGAGCTAATGAAGACTTTAGAAATGGAGAAGTCAGAAGCATCCAGGAGAACAACAGTCTACACATAACCTGGGTGGTTTAAGCACTCCCGTAACACAGTTGTAAGTAACAGGCTGACAGTGATCCTGAGACTCGTGTGGTTGAAGACATCCTGCCAGGCACCAGGCACCTGAGCACATGCTGCTTTGTTTCTCAAGCATAGGCACAGGGTGGTCAGTCATCCATCCTCTCTGCTGTTTCACCCTCAGTTGGTGAATCAATAGCAGTCATATTTTGCCGGCTGCACACAATGCATGCTCCAAGGCACCAGCGTGCCATGTTTCCTCCTCCTGTTACACTAGTGATATTCTCAATGGCTAGTGGGTGCTAGGGAGAAAGGCTCAGTACTCACCCAAAGCACCAAACGCCCAATGGAAGAGACCCTGAATATGAGACACATTCTAAGATTAAGATCTCAAAAGTTGATCTTGCTAGCTATGTCCTTTGCCATGAAGAAGTTCTGCAGTTTCATGCAATCCAATTTGTCCAACCTTTCTTTGATTTGTCCTGTTTCTGGGTCTTTATTAAGAAAATTTCAAGGAGCCCTAGAGTTTCTCATATTCCTTCCTGTAATGTTTTCAGGGTGTCTGCTTTGACTTCAAGGTTCTTTGAGCCATTTGGAGTTGACTATCCTGCAGGGTGATATATAAAGATCTATTTTTAGTTTTCTACAGGTGTTTAACCAATTTTTCCAGCACCATTTACTGAAGAGACTTTCTTCCATTCTATTTTTTTTGGAGAAGAGCTTCACCAGCTATACAACAGACAAGGGCCTCATAGCTAAAATATACTTAGAACTCAAAAAACAGAGTCACCCAAAAATCCTTAAAGAAACAACAGCCCCATTAATAATAGTGGGCTAAAGATTTAAAGAGAAACTTCTCTGAAGTAAACACTGGAAGAAATGCTCAACTTCTCTGGCCATAAAAGAAATATAAATCAAAACAACATTGTGATTCCACCTCACCCCAGTTAGAATCTATACTCAAGAAATCTAATAACAACAGATGCTGGAGGGGATGTGGACAGAAGGGAACCCTACTGCATTGTTGGTGGGAGTGTAAATTTGTTCAACCGCTTTGCAAAGCAGTATACTGGTTCCTCAAAAGACTCCACATAGAGCTCCCCTATGACCCAGCAATCCCACTTTTGGGCATTTACCCAAATGATCACAAACAAGACCATACTAAAGCTACCAGCACAACTATGTTTATGTCAGCATTGTTTATCATAGCTGAGATATGGAACCAATCCAGATCCCCCTCAGGAGATAAATGGATCAAGGAAATGTGGTATATATACACAATAGAATTCTATGCCTCCATCAGAAAGAATGACACCACCCTATTTGTTAGGAAATGGAAAGACTTGGAAAAAATCATATCAAGCGAAGTTACCCAGTCCCAAAGAAACATAGGTCCTATTGTTTTTCCTTATTTGCAATAATTAGCATACATATAGGATAATCTTATCAGATAGCTGAAAAGATCAAAAACCATCTACAAATGACCATATAAGATGATGCTAAGTGAAATGAACCCCAAGATATGGACACAGAGGTCTGTCTTTATTGTTATTGTTTTAAATGTCCCATGTGATTTTATTTGTTGTTGTTGTTGTTTCCTTTGTATGATCTTTCCCCTGTGGCATATCCTCTGTTGACACTGTACTCGATTTTGGTACTCTGCATCTTGTATATACATTTATCTAATCTGAGGAGGGGAAAGAGAGCAACAAAACGCTGAAACAAGTACATAGGATGACCCATTGCAACAAGGATTCCCACAGGACAGTATATTGGAAATGAACTTTACACCTTCGGGTGGGAAAGGGGATGGAGGGACGGGAAGACTGTGGGAGGTGGGGGAGGGAAGGGATAATGGGACAACAACAAGGAAAGGAAAGGGTAACAATGATGGACAAGTAATGCATTTAGTGCCTTACTCATATAACTGTAACCCCTCTGTACAGCATCTTCACAATAAAATAAAATTTATAAAAAGATCTTAAAAGTTGACTCTGCATGTAATTTGGAGGCAGAAAGTCTTATCTAAGGGCAAAGGGGAATGGAGGAAGAACACTGCAATGGAAATTGTAAGAAAAGCAAGTAGAGCTCAATACTGTTATTGTAAGACTTAGCACTCAAGGATGCAGTGTCTTTAAAAATCAGATTATTTGGGTTTAGTTGTAGCTCAGTGGTTGAGTTCCTGCCTGGTCCATACCAAGGCTCGAGGTTCAAATCCTAGGATCAAACATAAATCAGATAGATGATTATTAAATATGATTATTAAAGGGAGATTACTTGGGAGGAAATAAGGGAAGAGGAAAAGAGAGGGAATAGGAATAAGTATGATAAAAGTAGAAAATAGAAAATAGATATCCATTAAAATCTGTTCAGAAGGGAAGGTGGAAAAAGAGGGGCTAAGAGAGAGCAATATGGATAGGATGAATTTGATAAAAGTCATTACACATGTGTATGTAAACATTATGATGATACCTCTTTATACCATTAGGGTTTTGTGGGGTTTTTTTGCCCATATTGGAGCTTGAACTCAGGGCCTGGGTATGGTCTTCAAGCTTTTTCACTCAAGATTGATCCTCTACCACTTGAGCCACATCTCTATATATGGATTTTGCTGGCCAATTGGAGATAATAGTTACTCAGATTTGTCTGCTTGGGCTGATTGAACTTTGATCCTTAGATCTCAGCATCCTGAGTAGCTAGGATTATAGGTGTGAGTCACCAATACCTGGCTTTATATAATCAATTTATGCTAGTAAAGTTTTTATAAATCAGATGATTTAAAAGTAATGGTATTTGTTAATTTCTATTCCAGCTTCTGTGATTGCACCTTATTTCTGAGCAGTGGTGACAGCTGTCACATACCTCTGCTTCTGTGATGTCAGTATTTTTATCCCTAGCCCACAGATTGCATTGGGATAAGGAGATTAAGATGGTTATTTTAGACACATCACATGCCATAATTTTGATAAGGGATATTTGAAAGACCATAATACAAATGCAGAGAAAACTAAACACGATGATTAAAATCTACTTTTCTAAAATTATGTAACCCTACAAAAACAAACAAACAAACAAAAAGGGCTACCTACTTCACTAAATGTTCTTGTTTAACCCAGTTTGCAATGGCAAATGTTTATATGACTTCCTAAGTAGTATGTGCCAGACTTTGGTCCATGTTTCTTGTCTCTGCTCTCTACCCCACCCACATTTTGCATCTCCACCGTCTGCCCCCAGCCCCAAGAGGCAATCCTGTGTATGCAGTGGTTTCCTGGCATAGCCTCAGAGCTGAGGGCAGCTGGGGAGGGGAGAAGTTCACCTCACCTGGAGGTAGCCATGGGCTGTTGAGCATCAAGGGCCACAGCGCCAACCTTACAACCTGCCCAAGCCTATTCTCAGTTACCACCACCAGAACAACAACTACACATTACAATGTGTAAAAGAAAGACCAGGCCTTACATTGTGAAGATTAAATGATAGCAATTCAAGTTTTTAACTATTTCAGTGCATGATTGGTACATCCTATTTAAACTACAAGGGGATTATGTTCATTAATACTATGTAGCTCAACCAAAAAGCACACACACACATACACACACACACAGAGTCAAGGATATGTGTATAAAGATATCAGCCTTTTTGTGTTGTCCTGGTAAATTGGGCTTTGCTTACATTTAACATTTGCTTAGTGATTAGCTTACCTTTAATTAGTTGTCTACCCTCGTAAGCCCCACAGAAGAGATGAGCCCTGTCAGTATCAGTAGCCCCTGGCCTGGAAACTGCAAACTGCATACTTCCCTCTGCCCTAGGGTTTTCCCTCTCCAGAGAATGCAGGCCACTTTGAGGGGAGCAGCCAAAAGAAGCAGTTACAAGATACATGGATCTCCAGCTGTGGGCCGGAGGCATCAGGAAAGACTACCACACAGAGAAGCTGCCAGGGACATCCAGTCCACCTTCCTGCATGGAGTTTGTGCACTTATGTCCTGACTGTTCCTGACCATTCCTCTGCTGTGACTCCACTCCAATCTGGACTGAGGCAGCATCAGAATGAAGGACTTTCATTGCCTAAGTGTGTGGACCAGAGTGCTCTGGCCACCAGAGGACTAGCATAAATGCTGAACTACTTTAGTTTGCAGGCTCAGTTTTTTAGCATTGAAAATTAAGCAATGAGCTGGGTGCTGAGTTCACACCTATAACCATAGCTCTTCAGAAAGTTGAAATCTGAGAGTTGCGCTTCAAAGCCAGCCCAAACAGGAAAGTTCATAAGACTCCAGTCTCTATAAACCATTAAAAAGCTGAAGGGAGTGTGTGGCTCAGTAGGCAGAGCAACAGCCTTGAGCAAAAATGCTGAGACAGCACCCAAGCCCTGAGGTCAAGACTCACAGTATTGGAAAAAAAGGAAAGCAAGCAAGCAAGCCAGGAAGGAAAGGAGGGAAAGAGGGAAGGAGAGAAGGAAGGAGGGAGGGAGAGAGAAAAGAGAGAGAGAAAGAGAGGGAGAGAGAAAGAACAGAGGAAGGGAAAGAGAAAGAGGGAGGGAAAGAGAGAGAAAGAGAAAGAAGGAAGGAAGCAAGCAAGCAAGCAGGAAGGAAGAAAGCAAGCAAGCAGGAAGGAAGGCAGGAAGGCAGGAAGGAAGAGGGAAGGAAGGAGAGAGAGGGTGATGGATGGAAGGAAAGAAGGGAAGGAGGGAGAGGAGAGAAAAGAAAAGAAGCACAATAGCGAATGACATGATTTAGTAGAAAATGATACTTTTCAAATGTTCAAGGTAGAAGGCTGACTTTACTATTTGCCTCTCCTAAGACCTGGGGTGTGAGGCCCCTGCTCTCCTTAATGGGGAGCGCCGATAAGCTGGGAGAGGGCTGAGTGCAAGTTCCCCAGGGCAGTGGTTTATAAAGCACAATTCTCCCCCAGAAGCACAGTGACACTTTAGCCAACTGTCTACTTCCAGGATGGCAGAGGAGAAAGAAAAGAGCTTTCATTGCTTTTTCTTTTGGTCATGACTCCTGAATATCTTGGCAAAATAAGAAAAGGAAATTAAGACCACCTACAGAATTAGGGAAACAAGTGAGAAATGCTAATGGCCATGCCATGCTTTCTGATGTCCTTAACAAGCTCCATTAAACAATTCTAGTGCTGAGCGAGTAGCCTGGTTATGCCAAGCTCCTGTGGAACCACAGAGGGCAGAGATCATGCCTGGGACCGTGGCCAGTCTCAGTGTCCTGGGCTCATTCAGGGTGGAACTCCCTCCATGGCTGCCAGAGACTTGTGCATGCAGTAGGTATTCAGCCAGGTGTGTTTACTGATTAACTCTGAAAACGGAGCTAGCCTACTTTCAAACTCCAGTGACATTAAAATGTGTGGGCAACCGGTGCTCATTTCGGTCAACTCCAACATTGTCATCAACAAACTATAAACATCTTTGTGTTGCTCCACATGTGGAGCTTGCTTGGCTGCAGCAGCCCTTTGCTATATCATCTTTGAGGTGCTTGTATTTCTTTCATGTTAATAATGATCAAGGTTGTGCACTGGTGGCTCATGCCTGTAATCCCAGATATTCTAGAGGTTGAGATATGAGGATTGCAGTTGAAAACCAGCCCGGACAGGAAATAACCACCAAAAAGCTGAAAGTGGAGTTGTGGCTCAAGTAGCAGAGCTCCAGCCACAGTCTATTCGCCTTTAGAGATTGAGAAACTGAATACAGCCCTATAGTTTTTGTGCTGGTACTGGGACTTGAACTCAGGGCCTTGAACTCTTGCTTGCCTTTTTCCCTCAAGGCTGGTACTTTACCACTTGAACCACAGCTCCACTTCTGGCCTTTTTCTGGTTAACAGAAGATATGAGTCTCATGCACTTTTCTGCATGGGCTGGCTTTGAACCACAGTCCTCAGATCTCAGCCACCTGTGCAGCTGGGTTACAGATGTGAGCTTGGTGATTCCTGGTCTTGTGAGCAGGGAACTTATCTACAAGCCAGAAACAGTGAGGAACTGCTGGGGGGAACGGGGTGGGGGGTGGGGTGACACAGCACAGATGCAGTACTAGAGCCAAGGAACTGCCAGCCATGAGACCAAGCACTCGGCTGTGTGAGGAGCCACAGAAAAGCCTTCCTGGATCTGGAAATGTGTTTGATTGTAGCTGGTTCTGCCAAGCAAAGCCCAGTCCTCATAACAGTAGAGAGCATATTTCAGTGGCTAAAAACAGAACATTCAAGAAGAGTGGCTTACTTCTTGTCCATTAAAGCCAGGCACACCTGGGTCTCCTTTTGCTCCAAGTTCACCCTAGAAAGAAACAATTTAATCAGTGAAAAAGGTTGCATCTGAAAACCTTCACCAAGGAAAACCAAGAGAGATATGTTTTTTGGATATTTATAACATCACGATTACTTTGTTAATCCCTTGAAAGAAACATTTATTAAAAAACACTTTTGAGCTTAAAACCAAAGAGAAATATAAAAGTTCCAAAAAAGGCTGCTTAAGAGGGATTAAAGAGTGGAATTAGGACAAAGATAATGTTCTTCTAGAAGCAACAAAGAACTTTCTGGAGGGCAATCTGGCAATCAGTATCAAGGATCTAGAATCTGTTTGTTTTAAGGGCCCCATGGTTTCATCTGCAGGAACTCAGCCTGGGGAACCATGAGTGATGAAAAGTGACAGGTCCAGTGTGGAGCATGAGGCAGTAAAGAAAAAGGGACAGGGAGCCAAGTAAGCTGTCATGGAGATAGAGAATGGATGACTCAAATCTCTCTAGGTAGGAGCTCAAAAATCAGTGTTTAAATGTTACACAAAAGGTATTTAGCTAAGTTAATAAATGAGTTGAAATTTTTTGTACATGAAGACAAATATGATTCCATCAATACTGTCATTAACTTTCACAATGCAACTTAAAATAAAGGCAATCTTTATCCAAAAGTAATGGTTCGTGAATCATAGTTGGAGCTCAGTGGTATGTGCTTAGCATGTGTAAAGCCATGGGTTCAATTTCAGCATCCTCCAAAATGGAATTAAATTTAAAAATGGATCCAGCAGATGAAAAGAATGTGCTTCCTCTACATTAAAGGATATATTCCAACAGGAAGTCTGCAAGCTTGACTGGTTTTTCTTTTCTTTTTTTAGGTTGGTTGTGAGGCTTGAACTCTGGGCCTGGGCACTGTCCCTGAGCTCTTCAGCTCAAGGCTAGTACTCTACCACTTGATCCACAGCGCCACTTCCCGTTTTCCGGTGGTTTATTAGAGGTAAGAGTCTCATGGACTTTACTGCCCAGACTAGCTTTGAACCACAATCCTTAGATATGAGCCTCCTGAGTAGCTAGGATTACAAGCGTGAGCTACCAGCACCCCACTTGACTGGTTTTTCTTAAATAATAGTATCATTAGTAACAACTAATAATAATGAGTTGTTTATTATAATAAAAAACAATAGCAATTGGTGCCTCACAAAAATACTCAAAGGGGTTTTAAAGTACATTTTAATGTATTTTAGGAACAAATACAGTTCATTAAAAAAACAAGTGATTGCTTTATAGTACCATTATAAGGCCTATAAAACACCTGTATAATGTTGACTTGTGCCAGGCACTGTGTAAGCATTTTGAAATTCTATGATGATGACTATGCTCATTTTACAGGTGAGGAAACTGAAGACAGAGGCTAAGGAATGTGGCTGAGGTCCTGGGGCTTGAACTCAGGGCCTTGGGCTCTCCCTTGGCTTTTCTGCTCAAAGCTGGCACTCTACTACTTGAGCCACACCTTCAATTCAGGCTTCCTGATGTATAACTGGAGGTAAGAGTCTTCCTGACTTTCCTTCTTGGGCTGGCTTTGAACCATAACCTTCAGATCTCAGTCTTCTAAGCAGCTCGATGACAGGTGTGAGCCCCAGAGGCTGGCTGGCCATTCTTTACTTGGGCTCTATACTATCCTGTACACTGCCGACCATCCATCACCAGCTTCCTCTCAGCAGGATGGCAGCCTCCACGCCACCCTCCCTGAAGCCTTGAGTATGGGCAAGTGAAAATGTCATAAGTAATACCGTAATACCAAACTTGTTGGTATAGATTTACCTCCAGCTAGAGCACTATTCACCTCATGAATATTCATGTAATGTGTTCATGATATGAATTATTATGTCAGATTGGAACAATACACATAATAACATGAATAAAATGTTTAACTTTCATGTTAGTTCTGAATGGATGAGTCAACTTTTAAAATATTAAATAACTAGGAGAAACTATGGCTGACCAAAAATTCACAGTAAATAATGCCGCTGTCAGAATGAAACAAAGATGGAAACAATTATGTGAATGAAAAATTCTAGCATAAATTAGTAATACAGATATATCATAAACTAAACTAAAATATAGATAACTGAGAAATTTATCAATTGATGACTTAATAGTATCACTAATATTCAGACTGCTTTTTATCGTTTATAAAGAAAAGACTAATATTCCAACTGGTAGTTGACCAAAGGATCTATCTGACAATATGCCACAAATGACAGTCAGTATAATCTTTACTGGTCCTAATTAATCAAGAAATGTCCTAATTAATTAATACTAGTAAAGAGATAGCCTGGTCCATCCGTGTGTGTGTGTGTGTGTGTGTGTGTGTGTGTGTGTGTGTGTTTATGGACCAGGTTGTCTCTAAGGCCTCTCTATTTCACTTCTTTCATCCAGTTGAATAAGGCTGTAATACTTTACATATGCATATGTGTAAGTAGATCGATGAAAGCGGCTGAAATTGTTTCAGGAGGGCAGGGGAGGTAGGAGTGAGGCAGAAAAGTATGATGGGGTACTTTGTATGTGTGTTCCAAAATGTCACAATGAAACCACTCCACGTGCAACTAATAGATGATAATAAAAAGTCTTGGGAAAAAAAGTGGAGGGTTCTATATTCTAGCCAGAAAACAAAGTATATTCATGTTGCATATTTAATAAATCCCAAACAAAAGAAATTGTACAATAGTAACCAGCTGCACAGAAAGGAAACTGGAAACAAAACTGCAGCACTAAGGATTTACTCTGGAGCTGGAGAAAACTTGTTTGACAAATGATGTCAAACTGTGCACTTAGATTGTTTCTTAGTGTTTGGGCAAATTCAAGGGAAGGAACTATTTAAAAAATAAAACCAATAGACCATTTCGGGAGATTTCTCCAGAAATATAATAAAGCATTCTAGTCTGGCAGAAACTTAAATACAAAGACTACAGGAACTATTTAAAAAATAAAACCAATAGACCATTTCTGGAGATTTCTCCAGAAATATAATAAAGCATTCTAGTCTGGCAGAAACTTAAATACAAAGACTACTAGATTACATTTAAGATTTTCCAAGCCAGGCACTGGTGTCTCACACTTATAGTCATAATATGCAGGAGGTCCAGCTCAGATCTCGGTTCAAAACCAACCAGAGACAAACCAGCTGAAATGAGATTCTTCTCTCCAATTAAGCACTGGAAAGCCAGAAGTGGAGCTGTGACTCAAGTAGTAGAGCCTCAGCTTTGAGCAAAAAAAGCTAAGGGACAGTGCCTAGGCCCCAAGTTCCAGCCCAAGACTAGCACACACACAAACAAAACAAAAACCTAAATATTTCCCCATTATCCATTATTCATGAAACTAATTTTAAAACTGTACCAAAGCCGGGCACCAGTGGCTCAGGCCTGTAATCCTAGCTACTCAGGATGCTGAGATCTAAGGATCGCAGTTCAAAGCCAGCCCGGGCAGGAAACTTCGTGAAACTCTTATCTCCAATAAACCACCAGAAAACTGGAAGTGGCACTGTAGCTCAAGTGGTAGAGCACTAGCCTTGAGCTGGAGAGCTGAGGGACAGCACCCAGGCCCAGAGTTCAAGCTACATGACTGACAAAAAAAAAAAAAACTGTACCAAGATTTAATGACTTTTCAAACAAAGTGGCAGGGCCTTAGCATTCAAAATGTTGCTTTCAGATAGGTAGAAAAATCCTTTACAGAAAACAAATCCCTTATTTCCCACAAGACAGTGCCGATAACACTCGTTTCAGGTATTGCAATAGCTACTAGCAATAACACCATAGCACTGTTCTATATGCTGCACTGCACACTACGCTCTGTCCTAAACGACTGACAGAGCCGGGGCTCCTTGCATTCTAGCAGTGGCAATGCATGGTGACACTCTGGACCCTGCTTGCTGACACAGCTCAGGGGCTACAGTAACTCTCATGGTGGGAGAGTGCCTAGCATCTCAGGTAACACTCAACTAAAGGAAGGATGCACCCCTCCATTAGTCTCACCTGGTTCCTGTGCCTGGACCTGCTTTGGTTCCCAACAGAGCTGAAATGTGGTGGACATTTTCCATGGAATCTTGAATACTGGAAAATGTCTCTAGTGTTCTCTATTTAGCCAAGGAATTTGTTCAGCCCTAGTGCAATGGCCTAGGAGGATTGGAGGAGTTGGTGCTACCCACCCCATGGTGACCAAAGCTAGAGCCATTCCACTAGGGATGGTGACCAGGCCCTGGGCCTGTTCCAGGACAGGCAGTGAGCAGTGCCTGAACCTGGTCCACAACGGATGGTGGCCAGAGCTGGAGCCCGTTCACGAGGGACAGTAACCAGGGCCAGGGCCCGTTCCATGAGGGACAGTTCTGTCTCCAGCAGGACTAGGCCTTCACTGTGCACAATGATAAACAGCCAAAAGGAAATATAAATGTAAACTTGAATTCATTTTCTCTGGTTTCATCCCTTATTCCCCCGATTCCATCACACCTTTATCTTAAGATCTTTCTAATAAACTATGTGGCCTCAAGACCTTTCTAAGATTGACTGTTTATAGCTCACATCTGTAATTTCAGCTACTTTGGAGGCTGAGATCTGGGATTGTGGTTTATGCCAGCATGGACAGGAAAGTCCATGAGATGCCTATCTCCAGCAAAAAGCTGGACATCAAGGTGTGGCTCAAAAAGTAGAGTGCCAGCTTTGAGTGAAAAGAATTGAAGAAGAGTTCCCCAGTCCCGAGTTCCTGAGTTCAAGCCCCAATACAAGTCAATACACAGGAAGCACAACTTAAGCAGAACTTCTTTGCCCAAATGTTGTAAACATAAAAAGTACATAATGTACTACCATATATTCATATTCAGGCTGGTTTATGCAAAGGAATTTATGAGTAGAGCTCTCCTTTTCCAAATAAGAAGTTATTTTCTAACCCAGGGAGCCTGTGGCTACCTTGACAAAGCTCACATACATGTGCATTTCTGTGTTCTGTTACTGATAACCAGAAAGCACCTACTGATAGCTGATTATGCCTCTGG